TATATTATATATATATATATATATATATATATATATATTGTTGCTTGTATACTTTTACAGGGCAACACTTTCTGTTCGTCGTCATGCATACATCCAGCAAACATTTGGATCGCTGGAAATTATATCAGATAGTTTTTTTCGAGACACTTTGCGGCAGCGCATCAATAAAGGTATCCGTATGTGGAAGGAAGCAAATGAATCAAGAGATTTTGATTGGAAACAGATAAAATTACCACCGGAAAAGTTTCACGTACATATGATATTGCCGCTTGCTGGAAGAGCCGATTCTTTTAAGAGGTTAACTTTCTTTCATTAATAAGGCGAAAAGAAAAATGTAGTGTAGCTACTTCTTCAGTTTTTCTATTAAAAACCCCGTCTAAAGAAGCCTCTTTATTACCTCTAGGCTGTTTCAAACTATGCTTACAAACTTTTTTGTAATCTCTTTAGGTCGCCAGAGGCAGGATATATCGTTTTGAAATTTAAGAACTGAATCAGAGTAACTATGGGATCTATGAGATGAGTCATATATTTATAAAAATGCAATCTAAATTGAAGCAAAAATATAGTGAAAGGTTAACAAACTACCGATGATTGATCGCACGATAATAACATCATACGTCAATGTTTCTACAGATTTGCAAATAACCTGAGAACCATATGCCGAAACAGACGGATATTTTCACTTATTTTGGTGATTTATGATTCGGTACCCGATGTGGATGCAGCAATTGCATCATTGATCGATGAACTTAAATTGGAAATTGATGTTAGGGTTCGTGCCGCTAATATTAGTTTGAAGTTGATCAATTTGTAGCAGTTTATTACCTAGCACTTATCTCACAGGAATCTAAATGGTATCTTGACGGTTCATCTTTCTCACCTTGAAGATACTCTGAAAATCTTTTTTGAAGACTTAATGGTAGCATAAAACGCTGGATGTTTTATTAGAAATATTTGGTATGCTTGATATTTAATGGATACTGATATGCCTAATATTATAATAACACTAAGAACATTAAGAATGGAAGTGCATGAAAGGATATTACTCCAAAAGCTGCTAGCGTTTTTTTTTTTTTTTCAAGTGTAGGATTCAACGATGAGGATCGCAATCTTAGCTAAAAACCATTTCAGAGCAGTGAAAAAAAGAAAAAAAATTACTACTGGAGTGGATATCTGTTTCTCATTTCTGTTGTTGTAATTCGATAACTTTCTAGGTAATCAGTATGGGGTCACAACCATTCAATCGTGGCGTTGCACTCTCCCGCGGAGCTGACATTTTGGAACCGGAAGCTCTGATGTTTTTTATAGATGTTGACATTCTTTTTACTTGTGATACTCTTGATCGGGTTATACGCAACACTGTACGTGGTGCTCAGGTAAACCAGTAACATTCCTTTATTTGTCGATTTTTAAATAGCGAAGAACCAAAACCACCAAAACCTGACTTAAATTTATGAATCGAAGACAAATGGCAAAATTTCAGGTATATTTTCCTATAGTATTTAGCGAATACTCACCAGAAACATGGTCGGATAGTGACCGACTACTTTCCGATGCATTTCATTATGGTCGAAAAAGGGGTTATTTCCGACACTTCGGATTTGGACTGGTATCCATTTACAAATCCGACTTAGATCTCATTGGAGGCATGAACTTGAAAATACAGGTGAGGTATCACTGTTTTGAGTACACATAAAAAGTTAAAGTTACTGGGTTTGTCTGCTCTTATGTTTGAAAATTTCCTTTTAAAAAACATTGTTTTTCCTAAAAAGCAAGGTTTTTTTTTTTTACAAAAAAAGCAAAGTTTCGTGCGATGAACTTGAAATCAAGCACCATTTCAGGGATGGGGTATGGAAGATGTGGATTTCTTCGAGAAATGTGTTCGCTCACCTTTACATATAATGCGTGCACCGGACCCAGGTCTTGTTCACATCTATCACACTATACACTGTGCTGAATCACTCCCGGAAAAACAGTATGCCATGTGCATCGGTTCAAAGGCGGCAAGTTTAGCATCGCTAGATTCTCTAATTGACCAGTTATCTGTATACTCTTAACACTTGCTCAACTTTAGATTTTTATCAAAATTAAAACCAATCCAGAATTCAAGCTTACGTTCAAAATCATTCCATTAAAATAACTGAACATACATGCAGTAACTTATTTAATAACTGAATAGTAAAATTAATTTGCTATGAACAAATACGGTATATAACACTCTGCTTATCCTCACTTTCAGGCTGACCCAATTTGAGCTCACTTTGAATTTTATAATTTATTTCGATCACTGCTGCTCACTTCCAATTTTCTATTATATCAGTTATTGTTTCTTGTTTGTTAACGAATTTTCAGAAACGATCACATGCACAGAGTTGTACATATTACAAACACTGCCCATGATGATAACTTATTGAATCTTATTACAGCACAGGCTTACGACAATAACAAGAATACTGAAATGATCCAGTTAACTTGAAAAACATACATAGGGTTAACAATATGCTCAGCTTTACTTACACCATCCGTTAAATCACTACGCTGGATACAAATAGTGCTAAAAAAGTTCCAGTGAAGTTTTTACTCTGGAATCCATTTCGACCTAGTCTTTGTTACAGAAGTATTATCGTAAGCCTAAATTGTGTATTAAATAATATTCTGAAAATATTCCGTGAACTGTTTCAATAATTCACTTAAAAAAATCTAATAAAAAGTTCAAATCGTAAACAATTTCTCACGAACGAGTAGAACAGTAAACAAAGAATGGTCCTCAGGAATCACGTTAATAAGCCTAAACAAAAAGAAAGCTTGATGTAGGGGCCCTCTTAGACCTCTCCTTTATAATGGGGAAATTTGAATCATTTCTTAATTTTCACTTTCAAAAATGCATACTAAATTCTCTTTTGTTTATTGCTTCAAAAGAGATGAAAGCAAAAGCAATGAAATCACCATAAAGAACGCTGTTATTTTCACTGACAAAAAAAAAAAACTACGTGATTAATTCTCACCACATAAATCTCTGTTTAACGCCAGGCTCATGTACCCATTCAAACGGTCTATAAAGGAACATATACAAAACAACAGCATTTATAAGAAACTCATAAATTAGTTCTAAAATAATTACTGGAATTCGTCGTTCTGGATAACTAAGACGCCAGAAAATGTAGGGTATGATGAAATACCTTGGTTCCAGCAGATATGCCGGTACCAATACTGCCGCTGTACCCAAAACATACAGCAAAGTAAGGGCTTTCGGAATATGCTCCATCATTTGGCTAACTAACTCAAGTGCCATGATATAAAGGATTATAGTAACATATTTACAGTACTGATGACGCAAAAACCATCGTTTCCAGATGTAAAAAGTAAAGTGACGATTGTCAGCCAGCAGATATGGATGTTGCAATGTAAACAAGTAAACGCAACAGGTAAAAAGTAAAGAAGAAGTCAATAATTTAAAGGGCTTACGGATGATATACACAAGACATTGGTAAGTTTTGGCAGAGAATGCCAGTAAAGGTGCTGAACTGAAACACAGAAAAATCAGAAAATAACAAACTTGCATGAAATGAGCCACTGGTTGATGGGCCAAGCGATCACCGAGCACTATACTATTACCGTTCCATAGGAAAAATATGATAAAACCAAAGGGTAATAATAGCAATGACCAAAAGTGCAGCAAGCTCTTAATCAGTACCATTATTGAGAAGGCACCATTGCTTTGTTTTTTGAATAAAATAAACAAGTGAGTTAAGCCATATACAGCTGCCCAAATGATGTTTGTTTGTCGCGTAAATATAGAAACTGCGAAAATAGAAGAGGAGAGTACACTCGGTTGAAGAGAAGTAGCCCACAGCAGTGTTGTTAATGATAACAAATCGGTATAATATAGGAGTGAAGAATGAAAAAGTACAGGAAGCAATAGGACAGTTAAGGAACTTAGTGTGAATTCCAGATACCGAGAATTCAGCTTGGATACGGGCTTCTGGAAAAGTTGTCGGAACTGGATGCAACCGACAAAAGCGAAAGGAATCAAGACAGAATTCGTGTATCTTTCACAGCCACAAAAAAAGACAGCGAAAGTACATACAAAGCTGGTGGCGTCGTAATTTTCGGATTCCATCTGAAACCACTTTCACATTAGCTTATAAAATTAATTGATCGAATCATGAAGAGAGAAGGATCACTGGAACCTAATTTCAAAGGAAAAGTGGAAGTATACAGTTACCCAACAAACACGTAAGAAGACATGTCATCCAATTCAATGACTGCAATTCCTAAACTGCACTAAAAAAATTAACTGAAATCACTTCATTTATATTCATACAAATTACAAATTATCCCAGCTGATTTGTCCCTCTATAACTTTTTCCTGGACAATAATTCACCCTTAGTTATATAATCTATCTATAAAAACTTCGCATCTTCATATGGTGCCTTCTGCGATATCTTTTACAAGCAACGTAAAAATAGAAGTGTACTGTCGTATTAGTTGAGCAGATGATAATTGAATAAGAAGCAAAAACTGACGTGAAATTTAATACACAAAAACGTCGTGCTTGATCTATGTGGAAAATTTCATCCATATATGGTTCGGGTACAACCTTGTACACATGGTTTACGAGAAACGAATGTAATATACCAAGAAAACTGCCAATACACCAATCCACTTCAATAAAAATTAATTGAAGAATTTTCAAACGGTAAAGTGTTGCTATATAATTTTAAAGGAATAAAAATACTTTTTCTCCTTATGCCAGCAAAGTAAAAGATATTTTATTGCCTCAACAAAAAATGGGCTTCGTTGCTCAACAAAATTAAGGACAAGCTCAAAAAGAGATGAATAGACATTCTGCACTTTGTCACGTTCAAAACCACGATATTTAGATTGCGCATGCAATACTAAGGTAAAATAATTAGGCTGGACCAGAACGATCAATTCAATTAATTTTAGAAATCGAATCTACAAGAAATGAAACTGTGCTTAGTCCAGTGGACTTTTCTAGACTTTCTGAATGAAAAAAAATAGACAAGAAACAACTGATGAAATATTTAGCATGTAGATCCAAGAAGGAATATTTTTGCGTATTTCAACCCTCTCGAGATGTATAAGAGTTTTATTAAATCAGATTTTTTTCCAAAAGTAGTGAAAATATCATACCTATTCTATTATTCATTCTTTTTTGACCTTTATATGAATTAGCTGCTTTTCTGCATCCTAACAGCTATCACTTTTTTGGAACAGCCAGTCTTGTTTTCGTTCCCTTTTCTATCCGTTCGTTGTAACATGGATCCCGCTTTATTAACTGTAAGAGCGAAAGTGTTACCTTTGTAATCTGGCACAATTATAGAAACAAAGCATGAAGCGACGGATCAATCAATTATAAAGAAATTGAGTGACAGTGCCTTCGGAATTCCGGAAATAGAGACTTCAACATCAATACAACCAACATAACCTAGAGTTGAAATTACTACATTTCCGATGCCAACTGCTAACGAAGGAGTTATTGGCTGACAAAATTGGCATATTTCGTGGCTCGGTTTGTCACTGGATAATGTGGAGGTGAGTATAAGGCCAAGGCAGGGGGTTCGGGGTATTATCTTCGCTTCTTTGTATGTGGGGAAGGATGTACAACAAACGCTAATATGGTAATGATTTATTTCATTTCTGTTAAATACCCCAATTGTTCAGTGATTATGACATGGATAAGTTAATATCTCTCTCAGTTCTATAGTATCCATTTATGGTTTTGTGTACTGTAGAGTGGAAAGTTTTGTATGAAACTTGTATGTTATAAAATGCAAAAGAAATATAGGGAAAAGGACTATTCAGTGCTGTTTTCTTGCTTAGTTGGGGTCGTGGTTAGAATAAAAGTACGTAACAGTTGAATAAAATTGAATCTTCAGTAAAGAGTTAAAAATTCTTGAAAAAAAGTGATATTGAGAAGAAATTTTTACATTAATAAATGCTGGTAAAAATAAAAAATACAAGGGTTAAATATGACTGCGTCAAATTTGTGAGTATAGAGAGGAATTGAATATAGAAAAGAAGAAAATAAGACAAAGCGTCAGATATTTCGCTTCTCCAACAGTATCATCGTCATCGTTGACATATCTTTAAGTCTGTCGAAATCTGCTTCAATATTTATCTCTGTGATAGCTTTGATAGCATGGGAGGAAATAGTTTTTGTATCCGAGAAAGAAAGAAGAGAAAAGATTGGTGGGAACTTAAATTATGTTTGTTATGCTTTACTCTAATAGGCACTTACCAATCTAGGACCACAACTTCTTTTTCAAGTATCATTATTAAGCTATTACTGGAATAGTGAAGGATAGAGCGAGTTACTGAGTCTGTTTTGAAGTGATCAGAAGTATGGCATGAATTGATACCTTAAAAACATACACAGATATGTGTATCTGTGTATGTTTTTAAGGTAACGTTTGCGGGGATGCTTCGATTATTAGAGTTACTTGGTTTATTATATCTCATTTCAGTTCAGTGCAACGAGGTACACTTTAGGATTAAGAGCTTAATCTGTTTCAAATTGGAAGTATTTACTTCATCTGCGCTCATTTAGCTATGAATGATAATTCAATGTGCTGTGTTAGAAAAATAGTTTATATAATTACCGTTATTATGTTATTCGCTCATCACATTTCAAATCAAAGGATAACCCAGTTGAAAATCCTGTTGCTTCAGATATTTGACGGGTATGGTAGCATACTGCACACGAGCAATTCAAAGGCTATTTCCATCTGCTGTCACATGTGAATCATTGTTCATTCCAATGTACCGCACCATTGCTATGTCGCAACGATCATTTTCTGGTACGTTACGAACCATTTCTAAAATTGCATAAACTGGTTATTTAGAACTCACGGTACTGGAACTAGTCTGTTGTAACTCTCCTAAAAATATAATTTGATCCATTAATGAATTATTAGCTTGTTCAAACCCTGCATTTTCGTAACAGTCAAATGCCAAGTAATGTACGTTCTACTTGTCGAAAACTTCAGTGATATGCCTTAGTGTATTTCCACCGTTCCGCCGTATGAAGTGTTCTGGTACGACTGGATTGTGAATTTACTCAATATCAGAAATACAAACAATTTTAAATCATTTCATATGAAAACATGTAAAATGGGACTATAAGTAAGTGAATCGTTTTCAAAACTGTGTTTACAGATCGGTATTATACAAAGAAGCACGAATGGGTTATCGTTGAAGGTAATACAGCAGTTGTTGGAATCAGTGATTTTGCGCAGGTTTAGTGCTTCTGATGGCTAGATTTGACAAATTAGTTGGGATATATAAAATCTTGCTTTAAAGAAATCCTTGCGAATAGTGTTTTCCGACAATTAAGGTGACTTCAGGATATTCAAGTTTTCCTCTGCATCATGCACTTAATTGCATGCTGATCCCAGTAATTGCGCTCTTTTAAAAATTTGCATTTAAATTTAAGTCATTGTATAGAAAATACATCTTTGATAAATTATGGGATGTTTCAGGCAGCGCTTGGTGATATTGTTTATGCGGAACTGCCTGAAATTGGCAAAGAACTGCATGCAGGTGATTCAGCTGGAGCAGTTGAGAGTGTCAAGGCGGCATCAGATATCTATTCACCTATTTCTGGAACAGTTACGGAAAAGAACATCGAAATTGAAAGCAATCCATCATTAATCAATAAATCTGCCCTTAGTAAAGGTAAGTATGTCTTAATCTTCTAATTGCAATCAGTGAAGGGATATTTTCGGTCATTCATTAGCTAGGAACTGATGATTTGATGATATCTAGTTGAATTTTGCGATAATCATTTTTGCTCTCAGGTGAATGGAAAATATTTAGGTGGCAGGAAAATGGCTGTACTTTATCTTTTTTTTATACAAATTTTCTTAATATTAACAGATAAAGAGAGGACAAAGAAGACAAGAGAGTCACTTCGTGTAAGAAAGGTTTATTTTACAAGGAACCGTACAGTGAGACAAACATACCTCAAAGTTTATTGGATGCAATTTGTTTTGCTGCCTGGATTACTAATCTTGACTCCTGCTTCAAATTGTCTTTGTTCGTAACTATTTCGTTGTTTGAGAATGTGAGAACGAACTTGGATGACTTCTTGGAAAAAACCTTTTAGCTAGTGCATCAGTGTGATGAAGCTTAAATAAATAATGACACAGTTTTAGGTTGGTTGTACAAACTGAAACTGAAGGATGCAAATGAACTGAAAGAACTGATGAATGAGGCAGCTTACGAAGCATTTAAGAAAATTGAAGAAGCTGCTCATTAAATATCTTAGCTTCAGTCAATAGTTTTAATACTTTAACCACTGCTAATTAATTCATCAGCCGATTTTGTTAATGTATCTTTAGACTTTTATGAAATGTTAGAATAATTTACCCGACGCTAAATAGCTACTTGTAAATGTCTTTCATAAATTTCATAATTGAGCATAATCATTATAGAGCTGAAGATATCTTCTCTGCATGATAATTTAAGCGGTCGAATGTTCCCAAAAACTTGCATTCTGCTTTTAAACGTTTTGAATAAATCTCCACTGTCCAATTTTCATGACGATTGTTGCATAATAATGTTATTTCGCATTGTTTTTCTTTCACGTTCATAATTGACCTATTTAGAGTATTTAATGTAGGGTTAGAGTAATTTGTTTACAGATATCTCTGTTTGCTTCATATTTCTCTTTTTAACTTACTTTGTTTTTGCAAGCAATAAATCATTACGATATCTTGAGTTTTCGCAAACAAAAAAAAAAAA